GTATTCGTCTTATTATTATTATTATTATTATTATTATTATTATTATTATCATTGTTATTATTGTTATTGTTATTATTGCTCTTATTATCATTGTCTTTATCATTATTCCTGTTTTAGTTATCATCATCATCATCATTACTGTTTATGTTTTTCTACGATGAAGTTAGCTTTGTTTATCCATTCAGTATAGTGCAGATAGAGGTACACGAGTGTACATGTTGACAGTGTATAGAAGATTTAACGCTAAATGGTTGCGGTGCATTCCCCTACCGAGTGTCTGGAATAAAACAAAGTGCAACCAGGTGCAAGGGTTGTGTGGTTTCGGCTTGTGTTGTGATACCCAAGACTGCGGTGCATGTGTGTGTGTGTTTGTGTTTATTTGTTTATATTTGCGTTGTGTCTGTTTTTTTTGTTTGTGGTGGTGGTTTTTGTTTTCATGTTGTGTCTGTTTATTTGTTTGTGTATGTTTAATTGTTGATATGTGTGTTGTGTCTGTTTATTTGTTTGTGTATGTTTAATTGTTGATATGTGTTGTGTCTGTTTATTTGTTTTTGTGTGGGTGTCTGTTTATTTATGTGTGTCTGTGTTTGTGTGTTTAATTGTTTATATGTGTGTTTTGTTTATTTATTTGTTTGTGTGTGTATGTATGTATGTATATGTATGCTCGCGCGCGTTTGTATATGCATGTATGCTTCTATGAGCGTGTTTTATACGTTTTGTTCCGTGTATCTCGTCATATCATTTGACATCATATGTTGCTCTGATATAAAGTGCACGAATCTCTACTTTTATTGCGGGGGCATGTTATGTGTTTTAATTTTGATGTGAAGATATTTGCATTCTCTATACAATTGTGTAGGAGGCTGGCATTGTGAATGAGGGTAGGGAAAGATACAAAGGAAAGGAAGGGCTCACAGAGGAAATGAGTCTGTGTGCGAATTATGTGTGTGTATGATTTGGAGTGTGTGTCTGTTTGCGTAAGTCTCTCTAAACTCGTGTTTAGAGAGAGAGAGAGAGAGAGAGAGAGAGAGAGAGAGAGAGGGAGGGGGAGGAAAGAGTGACAGAGAGGAAAAGAGTGAGAGGGGGAGAGGGAGAGAGAAAGAAAGAGGGGGAGAGAGAGACAGAGAAAGGAGGAGGAGAGAGAGAGAGAGAGAGAGAGAGAGAGAGAGAGAGAGAGAGAGAGAGAGAGAGAGAGAGAGAGAGAGAGAGAGAGAGAGAGAGAGAGAGAGAGAGAGAGAGAGAGGGGGGAGGAAAGAGTGACAGAGAGGAAAGAGAGTGAGAGGGGGGGAGAGGGAGAGAAAGAAAGAGGGGGAGAGAGAGACAGAGAAAAAGGGAGGAGAGAGAGAGAGAGAGAGAGAGAGAGAGAGAGAGAGAGAGAGAGAGAGAGAGAGAGAGAGAGAGAGAGAGAGAGAGAGAGAGAGAGAGGGGGGGGGGGGGAGAAAGAAGGGAAGAAAGAGAGAAAGTAGGAGAGACAGGCAGACAGACAGAGACAGAGAAATCGGACAAACAAAAAAAAAGGTCCAGTCAGACAGCGACAGAGAAACGACAGATATGAAGACACCCAGCGATGGATTGGGGGATGGATGAGGCTCTATCGCTTCATACGCTGGGGATATATCCTTGGCAACAAATAGCATTAGGAACGAGCGGAATTTTCGAAGAATTCCGTCCCCGGTCGATCCACGATTCTTAAACCAGTTTGTCTCCCCGTAAAAAGTAAGCCACTTCGGATAACTCGGTTTCTGGAGAGCGAAGGGAAGATGATCTAGAGACCTTGCTGTTTTTTTTTTTTTTTTTTTTTTTTTTTTTTGTGTGTTGTGTGTGTTGTTGTGTGTGTGTGTGTGTGTGTGTGTGTGTGTGTGGTGTGTGTTGTGTGTGGTGTGTGTGTGTGGTTGCAGTTGTCATGTGTGTGGTGTGTTTAAAAATTGAATTAGAATACAAAGTTAGAGGGTATAGGCCTGTGTTCAGAGGGGAAACGAGATTTAGCATGACCTTTCAAAAGACATAAAAAACAAAGAGTTTGACCTTCGATTTCATATACATTAATGGGAGATGAGAACAGTTGCCAGATGCCCTTGACAAGCGTGGTGTACGACAATGGACAGATAAAGGCTAACAGGAAAGCGAGAGGAGGAGAGAGGTCAGATGAAGACGGCATCACTGTCAAAAAGATCTCAAGAATGAAGGTCCTTCTCCTCTCCCAGTCCATATCCTCTTCTCCATCCCCCAGTCCATATCCCCCCTTCCTTCATCCCCCCAGTCCCAGCCCCCCATCCATCCCCCCCCATATTCCCTCCCCATTCCCCAGTCCCAACCAGTCCCATACCCTCCCTTCCCCCCCCAGTCCCATATCCCCCTCCCACTCTCCCTTTTTATCTGGGGATGCAAAGGGGGAATTTCCATACATTTTCCCTCCTCAACTCCTTGGCCGGCGATGCGAGGCGTCCAATTTCGTCCTCGCTTTGTCGCCGCGGCTTCTTATGAACCACGGCAGCTGTTATCGCTGGTCCCTCCCCTCCCCCTCCGTCCTCCGCCCTCCGCCCTCCCCCTCATCCCTCTTCTTTGGCCTATTTCTCGGGCTCTTCCCTCTTCCAGCATGCGTTCTCTCCTCGCTTGTCATTTTTGAGGGGTTATTAATTGTCGTTTTTTGTTTTTTTTTTTTGTTTCTTCTTCCTGTTATTAATTATTGTTTATTATTATTATTATTATTATTTATTATTATTATTATATTATTATATTATTATTATTATTATTATTATTATTATTATTATTATTATTATTATTATTATTATTATTATTATTATTATTATTATTATTATTATTATTATTATTATTAATGCTGTTATTATTGTTATTGCTGATAGTAAAAACAATTGTAATTATTCATTTATTTTTATTGTCATTATTATTGATATCGTCCTTGTTAGTATTATTGGTACTGTTTACTATTTTTGCTTGAGATTGTTAAGGCGATTCTTTTTTTATTTCTTTATTTTTTTGGTTTGTTTGTTTGTTTGTTTGTTTCCTGTCTTTATTGACATTCCCTTACTCGTCATGTATGAAGAAAAGGGCAAGGGATTAGTAGATAAAGGCTGTTACCGATCCAGTGCGATAGATTTTAGCTTACAATGTGTGTTTACAATCCTGAGAACTAAAATCATTGGGATTTTAGTAATTGATGATGGTAATGAAGGAATTACAGAAATAATGACAAGGATATTAATGACAATGATGATCATAAATATACAATAATAACCCTGATAGTGAGGGTAATGATAGCAATGATGACTATGATATTTAGGGTATTTAATAAATATGATATTTGGGATATTTAAAGATAAAGAAGTTATAGTTGCAAAGGTTAAGTTTCGCTTCTTAAGATAGTTGCAAGTGCTTCAGAGATGGGGGATTGTGTATACTTGAGAGCAGCTGTACGTGGGAGGCTGAGGAGTTGGTGAATGAGGAGGAGGAGTGGAGAGGAAGAGGAGTAATGGAAGGGGTGTGAAGTGGAGGGGAAGGGGAGGAATGGAAAGAAGTGGAGAGGAAGAAGAGGGATGGAGAGAGAGAGAAATAGAGAGGAAGAGTTGGTGAAAAGGAGAAGCGGAAAGGAAGAGGAGGGATGGAGCGGGTGTGAGTTGGAGGGGAAGGTGAGGAAGGGAAAGACAGAGAAGTGGAGAGGTAGAAGAGTAATGGAGAGGGTGTGAAATGGAGGGGAAGAGGAGGAATGGAGAGAGAAAGAGAAGTGGAGAGGAAGAGTTGGTGAATGAGGAGAAGTGGAGAGGAAGAAGAGGAATGGAGAGGATGTGAAGTGGAGGGGAAGAGGAGGAATGGAGAGAGAGAGAAGTGGAGAGGAAGAGTTGATGAATGAGGAGGGGAAGTGGAGAGGAAGAGGAGTAATGGTGAGGGTGTGAAGTGGAGGGGAAGGGGTGGAATGGAAAGAAAGAGAAGTGGAGAGGAAGAGGAGTAATGGAGAGGGTGTGAAGGAAGAGGAAAGGGAGGAATGGAAAGAAAGAGAAGTGGAGAGGAAGAGGTGAAGTGGAGGAGTGTGAAGTGGAGGGGGGAGAGGAATGGAGAGAGAGAGAAGTGGAGAGGAAGAGTTAGTGAAAAGGAGAAGCGGAGAGGAAGAGGTGTAATAGAGAGGGTGTGAAGTGTAGGGGAAGAGGAGGAATGGAGAGAAAGAAAAGTGGAGAGGAAGAGGAGGAATGGAGTGGGTGTGAAGTGGAGGGGAAGAGGAGGAATGTAGAGAAAGAGAAGTGGAGAAGAAGAGTTAGTGAATGAAATGAGAAACGGAGAGGTAGAGGAGGAATGGAGTGGGGGAGAAGTGAGGAGGAATGGAGAGAAAGGGGGAAAAGAAAGGGAAAGAAGTTAAGAGAAGTGGAGAGGATGAGGAATAATGGAGAGGGGGTGAAGTAGAGGCGAAGAGAAGGAATAGAGAGAAAGAGAAGGAATGAAAAGGGAGAGAAGTGGAGAGGAAGAGTCGGTGAATAGTGAGAAGTGGAGAGAGGAGGAGAGGAGGAGGAATGGAGAGGGAGAGAAGTGGAGAAGAAGATAAGGAATGGGGAAGGAACGAAGTGGAGAGGAGGGAGAGAAGTGGAGAGGAAGATCAGAGGAAGAGGAATGGAGAGCGAGAAAAGTGGGGATGAAGAGATGTATAGAGGCATAGAAGTAGAGAATAAGAGGTGTCGAGAGGTAGCGAAAAGGTGGGAAAGGAGAGAAGTGGAAACGAAGAGAAGAAATGGAGAGGGAGATAAGAATTGGAGAAGCGACATTTGAAACGGGAGAGGGGGGGGAGGGGGGGGGGGGGAGAAAACGGGATGGAGATTACATGGAGGGATAAAGGAAGTGGGCGGAGACCGAGAAAATTACTTTTGGGGTGGGAGTGTGGGCGCAAGGGAGGGAGAGAAGAAAATGGATAATGCAGGGAATGGGAGAATATTCAGTGTTTATCGACACACTCGTTATTTCATTCGGCAGCTTATAACAACCAGTCTTCCTTCCAG